AATAGTTCTGCTTACTAGCATAATTCATGCAACCTATGTGTTTATCATTCATTTTATCTTAACAGTTTGCATTAAACCATGTTTTTAACAACCTGTGACAATTCAATATTCTTTTAAAATGTACTTTCCTTTTTTCCTAAGGCAGAATTCCTTTCTCGTGGATTGGGGACTTTGTATTGCTTCTGGCTAATTGGTGAGGTTGAGCCTTCCTGTACGAAATAGCTAAAAATGTTTAAAATCATGGAAAGGCCTTGACCACAATAGTTGGTGTTATCTGATCAATATAATCAGTCTCCTTAATAAGACATTTATCACAGTATCTCCCATTTACAAGCAGACATTCTTCCATCAAGGATCCAGCCTCACTTTGATATGTCTGAAAGAGGGAAATCCTACCTGATTCAACATGGAAATTCTACCTTGTCTGTCTCTTCCAAGGACAGCTTTCTGTCTGACCAGACACATGCCAAAAGATGTGGGTATTGGGAACAGAATAAGGAAAGTTACCACAAGGAGTGTGGTAGATAAAGGTATATAAAAGAAACACAGCTGGAATTGAAAAGCTCATTGATTGAGATGCTGCATTCAGCTCTGAAGTTTTCTACCATACTAGGCAGTGCTGCCTTGACTAGGCCTGTTCCTCATCCATACATGTTCCTTTCAAACACTTGTCCATTAACTATTTAAAATGTTAGCCATATTCTTAATGGGGATCACAGTATGTCTGGACTAGACAAGACTAGACAAGATTAGACTATCTAGACTAAGAAGAAGTCAACCTGTTGGGTGAGTGGAGTGTAACACTTCACCCTTTGACATGGAGACATATGGAATTACAAGAACATGCCATGTGTGCTCTCAAAAAACAGCTGCTGGGAGACAGGGGGCAGCCAGCTGATTTAAGACTATGTGTTTTGTAAATTAACACAGTTAATATAGCCACTCTCAAAATACTCACTTACCAGGTGGCTTCCTACCCAATGCTGTATTTGTCTTGGAGAGGGATGGGCAGGTAGACAATTTCCCAAACAAAGCATGGTGTGGTCACCTGGCATTTTGATTTTTGAAGCATGGCTATTGGAGCCAGAGCAATTCATGGAAACAATGACAGTGCTACATGAAATCTACTTAGCAGCATGGGAGTTTCCCACAGAATTTTGTTTTAATTGAAAGAATATTTTGAAAGTCAGATGGGGTAGGGAGCCTGGCAATTGCCCAGGGAGGTGTCTGTGGGCACACTGGGTCCCACAGACAGTACGCTGTTATCCTGGTTTAGACATTCAGGTTAGAACCCTAACAGGCAAGAGTTCATGCCTCTTTACTTATAGGCAAGCCACTACTTGATTGTATATATAATCCAATTAAAGAACGGTGGATTTTTTTTTTAACTATTCAGTTGGGAAGAATGTTTGAAATACAATTAACAGTGGTTGAATGAATTATTAGTGCAGCTCATTAAGATTTTGCATTCAGGCAATTAGAATGCACAACTTCCTGCCACATTGAGCTGAAGTAATAAAACTTTGCAGGCTTTTAAATATCCTTTTCTTTCTTTGGATTTCACAATTAAGACAAACGAAACTATAGGGAACACATAGGAGCTGATGATGTACATCCAGCCATCTTAATTGGAGCTCAGAAGAAAAAAAAACTGACCTCCTTGTTATTCTTGCCTACAATAGTTGCTGCCAGGTGACAGGTCTATACTTGAATTGAGCAGAACATATTCTTCTCTTGCAATAGTGGAATCTGTGCCAGCCTAAGACATCTTGCAATGTGAAGCAAAGCTCAGACCTTCCCACCCTTCCCCCTGCCCCACAGGCTAAAGCTGAGTCTTGCCTCCACCTCTCAGGCGCTGGTTCCTTCTTTGCCGATTCCTCCTTCGCCGTGGTGCAGGGATGGGTGAGCCCTGAACTGAGTACTGGTTGTCTCTGCCAACTGTAGGTGTGCCATTCCTCTTGAGGTGCATGTGTGTCGTTTGTTTCCTAAAATGGAGCAGATCAGACATTTTGGGTTCTTCTCTACCATAGTCTTTGGTGGAATGAATGGCCCAAATATTTATTGAGTATCTGATTTCCTGCCTGAGAAATTGAAGATAGATATCTGTGGCTTTTGGTCTATTCTGTTTAACATAGTTGGCAAAATAGCAGCCTATTATATTTCTGTCTCAGATATTCCAGGGAAGTTGCCCTTCCCACATAAGTAATTGTGAACTGGAAAGGAAGAATAGAATTTTACTGTGTTTTTTCCTCATTTGAATGCAACCTGAGAAGAAAGGTGCGGGAGTCACCTTTTTTTATTAATTGCTTCTCTAGAAGTTTTGTGAGTTTTACCCTAAAGTTGGGATCCAATTAACAGGACAGATGCAGCTAAGCTAACATTTTCATGGAGACATCCTTACAATTAGGCCTTCTATCAATATGTCTTATAACAAAGTTTGAAGCTAAATATGGGAATTTGCACTTTGAAATCTAATAGGTAATATGTATGAACAACTGACACTAAAATGTCTTGGCACACAATAAAACCCAGTCTTTAAGAGCCAAAGATTAGAAAATAACTTGTCAGTTTGCAGAGGTGTAGGACTTTTTTAAAATCTATAGTGTTGCCTTTTAAGACATACAGTATATCTACATTCAAATTGCTTGGCAAAATATAGTTACAAGCACGCCTGGCTACTTATGAGAAAATGGGTATGCTTACCTTTTCTACCAGAGGTCTCCCCTCTAGCTGTTTTTCATACTTCAGGTGGGTGCTACTTTTAACTAACTGCACACCTGTGTAGGACAAGCTTGTACAAGAAAAGATTCTGAATATATTTCACATTATGTGGATAGTAAAATTAAAGTCAAATAGTGTTTTCAGGTTCTTACTTTTAATTAGGATGGGGTCATTCAAAAGTAAATGGTTTCCTGTACATTTTGTGCTGGGATTGGAATTGGTAGCTCTCCAAATAATTCGTTCAAATCTGCTTTCTTCTTTTTTTTCCCCCAAGCTTCATTCTGTAGGTTTGTTTCTCGGATGAAAGAAAAAAAATCATGTCCATGTGTGATACATTGTCTGAAAATTAATCTACTGGCTTCATTTAAAAGATGTAAACCTGATTAATGACCACATCAGGTGGGGAAAGTCTATTATTGAGTAAAAACACTGGCAGGAGGTAGTGCCGCCAAGCTTGTTGGCCTCTTAATTTTCCGGCAGTGCTATGATTTATGGCAGGGTTTTTCAACCGTGGCAACTTGAAGATGTGTGGATTTCAACTCCCATGATTCCCCAGTCAACCATTTAGGCCAGGCTAATACCAGTATCCTCCACTTTCTGTGCCAAAGATTAAGCTTTCAATCTTCCATTCAGGTCTTAGCGTTCATAGCCAAGAATGTATGCCTCTGACAGGGTCAATATTATGGTTATTGTCGCATTTATTTTTGCTTATTTTACTTTACTCTTTACTAAATAGTGAGCAGACTACTACAGCCCCTCAAGTACTGGAAACCTTTTCTTTGTTAGACCAGACATGCCTAATTCCCTCAATCGGTCAACATATGGTTTAGCCTCCAGACCCCTTGTAATCTTTGTTGCTCTTCTCTGCACTCTTTCTGGGATCTATATTAGAAGGTGGTCAACCTCAGTAGGGATTTTAAGACATAGGATGGTCATTTTATGAAAACTTTATTGTAATGGCGCTGTTCCAGTGTGGAAGAACTGGACTATATGGTTTTTAAGGCTCCATGGCTTTATGTTTCATCTACGGCTGGGCTAATGCTGTTAAAGAGGTTCACCACAAAATTGTTTTAGGAAATAGATTAAATGTTGGGAAAAGTTTGTGTGCTGTTTAATGGTAGCAGTATAGGAACTGCTTTCTGTGGGTTATCCCAGGACCCTGTTGAAAGAGCCTATCTTCATCATCATTTAAGACCTATCAACATGTAGAAGGGCTAATTGCTTAGAACCCTGCTCCAGAAACAAACCCATGAAAATCGATTGTTTTTGGGCTTCTCTAATGTCTAAAAACATCTCTGGCTAAAGAGAATGAAAGGAAAACCATGACAGAATACCCACATGTGTACAGACACAGGCACACACACACACACACACACACACACACACACACAAATATATATATAGTTCCAGATAGTTCCTGACTTCTGTGTATTTCAGTTGCTAACAAAAATTCTGTTGCTAAGCAAGGCAGTTGTTAAGTGAGTTTTGCCCCCCATTTTTTTTATATATATTTTTGGCCACAGTTGTTAAACGAATCACTGCAGTGTTTAAATGAATTGTGTGACTGTTAAGTGAGTCTGGCTTCCCCCATTGACTTTGCTTGTTGGAAGTCAGCTGGGAAGGTTGCAAATGGTGATCACATGACCCTGGGACACTGAAACTGTCGTAAATACATGCCAGTTGCCAAGCACTCAAAATTTGTTCACATGACCATGGGGATGCTGCAACGGCTATAAGTGTGAAAACCAGTCATAAGTCACTTTTTTCAGTGCTGTTGTAACTTCAAATGGTAACTAAACAAATGGTTGTAAGTCAAGGACTACCTGTAGATATATCATCAAAAATCAAATACAAAAAATGTCTGTGCTATAGAATTTCTGCAATTAAAATAATTTTAATTATTCTTCACTGTGGCCATGGATGAACCTTCACTCTATAGCCTATAGCATGCAAAGTAAAGTTTGAATGGCTTGAGCCAAGAGTAGAATTGATTTTTTTTGACTTATTTTTGACTTATTTTTGACTTATTTTTTTTGACTTATTTTCTTCTCCAAGCATTTATATTATGTGCATCCACAATACAGTAAAGAACAATAGGCTCTCTTTCCAGAAAAAATACAGATGTGCTATGTGTCCATGCAAGGACCATGAGAGGGGCAATATAAAATCTTGCATCCTAGCTGGCATAAAGATAAGCTTTTAATTAATATTTAGTCATGTTGTCTGTTCAGTTAGCTAAATATATCCTAATATAGATATATTGATTTTCTATTCTAAAGCAATCAATGGACACCAGTCTACCCCCTGAAGACCAGGATTCATCTGGAGATGATGATGATTCATTTTCTGGTTTATCATCTGGTATAGGTATGTTTAAGTTCTCTGTTCTTCTATTATAAATAAAAATTTTGCTCAAGTATTAACCTAGGGAATTATTTGTTGTCGGTAGAGCAATAATGATTACCGCTTCAGAAAATTTGGAAAGAGGATTAAATAAATTCATACGGGATAAGTCTCCCAGTAGCTGAATTTCTCTATAGTTGTATGCTACCTTATATAAATCAGAGTTGTAAAACTTAAGGCCACATTTGCTCCTGACTCATAATAAAGTATGCATTGTCTAGAAATCCACAAAGGCTCTCTCTAGCTGCACTTTTTAAATGTTATATAAAGTAGAAGGTTGAAGGGAAAAAAAGTATATAAACTATAATTTAATTGTTATATGAAATCAGATTGAGGTTTAGTACTGCCCACGGCCCAGAAAAGGCGATACACCTCTGTCCTTTTAGAGGGCAAAGGGAATTGCATTAAACAAGAGGAGAAAGAGCTCTTCCAAGGCAATGGTCAGATAAGAGGGACTTCAGCCTGAGCCAAGACAAGCCCATCCCTAGTTCACACAAAGTTAAAATGAGCGAAGGGGAGGAGAACATTCAGACTTGCAAGATTCTGCTACTATAACTGTTAAAATAAAAGTAGTGCTGAGCTACATGGCATTTGTTTCTTAGTCTGGTCTACCTTGCAGAGTCCATAAATCAAAGGTGGTATTCCTTAAAATGGAACTGCTAGGAAAGAGTAGTGACAAAGGACTACCACCCTCATATTCTTTTTGTAAGCCTTTTGGAGGCATCTGGGCGGCCACTGTAATGCAGAAAAGTGGGCTAGGTAGGCTTTGCTTAATCTGGCAAGTCTCATTTTAGCAAATAGTTGTTTCTATTGCAAAGACTTGTGATGTCTTACAATACAGGGGAACAGAAATGTTTTTGCAGCATTGGTAAGGAACATTATGATGACGTCAAGTGGGATTATTAAAAACATGGGGTGAAATTCTTCAGACTATTTGGCCAAGGTTTCTCTTACTGTAGCATTATACTTTACTTTTGAATCCTGATTAAAATTAATCTTGATATTAGGTTCTTCGATAGAGGATGAAGTGATTGTCTCCAATCTTCCATTACAAGAAAGCACAAATACCTCTCTGATGCCTGAGGTTTCTACCAGCTTGAGAGATATCCAGACAAAGGTTCAAGTTACAGATAGTCCTGTGGAAGATTATTCAAGTGCACCTGTCTCTATAGCAAGTATACCTGGGTTTCCAGATACTGCTGTCGCATCCAAGGAGCCACCAGTAACTCTTGAAGAGTTAGACTCAACTACGGAGCCAGACACAACAAAACCTACTGTATTGACGACAAGCATCCCAATAGCGCATCATGTTTCCACAGCCAGAATTACGACTTCTCGTGCTGCTAGCACAGTCAAATTCATTGATATTCATGACATGTCTAATATTGATGAAACACGCTCATTTGGCATTGTGCCAGAAAATGAGAGAAATTTGAATAGTGTCCTACCCACTATGGTGTCTTCTACTGCTCTAATGGAAAGCTCTCCTCTGCCTGAAAATGATATCTTCCAGGAATATGGTTCTGGTGGTCAGGTAAGAATTAAATAAATTATTGGCTGAAGTATGTTGGAATACAAGCACTTTGGAATATTTTTACTAGTACTTTTGTTGCTTCTTAGTTATCAGTTAGTCCTGATATGTTTAACTGTTTCAGATGTCGACTTTGAAACGTGTGACTCAGTGCTGGGTTCCTTGAGATACATGGGTGTAATTAAAATATGGGTGCTTTGAAACATACCATAATTTATGCCTCCTTCTTTCAAACAGGAAGATTTTATATTTTCAACACACGAGGAAAATCAAATAAATGTAAAGGACCTTGAAGCAGAAAATAGAATGATTGATTCAGAAACAAAGAATGCAAAATCTGAAGGATTAATGGACAGGAAAGAAGTACTAGGAGGTATGCCTGTGTTTGTTTTGGGGTGTATTAGGATTGTGCAGCACTTCAGATTTAGTTCCAAAACTATATTTGGAGCAGTGCACGGAGACACAAACGCGCCATCTATCTACAATTCTTTAAAGCAGTTGTTTTTCCAAGGTCGAGTAGTTGTCCCTTCCCCCTCAAACCTGTTACATAACTCTGAGAGAAGACACCATTGTTTTAAAGAGCTGTAGATCTACTACCCTGTTTCCCCGAAAGTAAGGCCTACCCCGAAAATAAGCCCTAGCTTGATTTTTGGGATCGGGCCTAATATAAGCCCTACCACCAAAATAAGCCCTAGTTTTAGGGCGAGGCACACACTTAAAAATGAAGCTAGGGCAGGGTGGGATGGGGAGCTGCCCCACACGTCCCACACCCACTGACCTTGCAGCCAGGCCTCTCCTCACCAGCCCACTTCTGAGGTGTCTTCTGCAGCCAAGCCTGCATTTCACAGGACTCTCTGGAAATCCACTGCAGCCGAGAACCGAGCTATGGATTCAATTCTTACCTTGGTTCTGCAAGACCTCTGCAGCCGAGGACCGAGCTATGGTACTCGGCTGCAGAGGTCTTCCGAAAAGTCCTGACTGCCAAATGCTGGTCAGAATGAAGCTGCAGAAGAAATGGATCTGCTGGGCGGTGCTGTCAGTGAGTATAAAAGTATAAAAGACACACCTCCCTCTGAAAATAAGACCTGATGCCTCTTTTGGAGGCAAAAAAAAAAAAAAAAGGACCCGGTCTTATTTTCAGGGAAACACGGGTATATTCATGCTCCTGCAAGTCCTGAAGCACCTTTTGGGAACTGAAACTCAAATGTTCCATAGCTCTGGTATGTATGTGTGTATGCATATATGAATGTATGTATGTATCTGAATGGGATGTATGTATTTCTGTATATTGCAATGCACCAACCCTCTGTATAAATGTATGTATGTTCAATACATTGGTTTACATTCATGGCTGAACTGCCAACACTGTTTTCTGTGTAATATTATTTGTTTTATATTAATGTCTATAATGGACATTATTTCTGACAGAATGTGATAGTTACTGCAGGGCATTAAACAGAGCTAAAGATGCTCATAGCTAGTTGGTCTTGGTCATGGATCTTAAAGCCAGAATCTAGAGTCAAATAGCTGAGTAGGTCAGATAAATGTGTGTGTAAAAGGAAATCCTACACTTTATGGAACTAAGTTATTTGTAGAGCCAATTAAAATATAATTCTGATGTTATGAGTGTCTCTTTTCTCTTTTCTTTTTTTTTCTCCTCACCTCTCCTCTCCTCTCCTCTCTTTTTTTGCAATGAAGAGGGACCCAATAATCATTTCTTTCTGCTGCCCATCCATAATTCTTTATTTTAGTACATTTATAGTGCACCTTTCCTCAGAGAACTTTATTTCCTTCATACCGTTAATTTTGTTCCATTGTGCACTAAGGTCTCAAAATTTCTTTTAGAGATTACTTCTAAGAACGTGTCAAGCATTTTGAAATCATGATATTTTCCATTAGGCTTTTCCAATGTTTTTAAGTGGTTAGCACTCTTGATACTTCAAAAGATTATTGTGGGTCCAATGTGAACTTTCTCATAACAATATGTTTATACCTTCCCTAATATCTGGAGCATGGCAAATCATGAACCAGAAGTCAGTTGAGGCACAGAAACTAGTGGTTGCTGAAGGAAATGTTCATAGATACTATGTTAATGACCCCATCATTATTTTAAGGATCCTAAAGATGTGTACAAAGACTTAAGTCAGTTGAAAATACTTTTACCATAAACAGAGGCTGGTTTTGAGGATATGAAAAAAAAGGTGGCTGTTTAGATTGCTTTATCTGTTTGAATGCAGTATACACAATTTTCTTGATGATATCCTTTGGGATTTAGGAAACAATCATCTCCCTCAGAGATTAGGACAAAATTTCTTTCCACTTTGGTTCTAGCTTGAAAATGTACATGTTATCCTTTTCTTTTTCACAGGAGTCATCGCTGGTGGACTCGTTGGCTTACTATTTGCTGGATTCCTAGTTGCATTCATGCTATATAGAATGAAGAAAAAAGATGAAGGAAGTTATTCATTGGATGAGCCAAAGCAATCGAATGGAGGCTATCAAAAACCACATAAGCAAGAAGAATTCTATGCATGAACAAATTGAACAAAAACTAAAGACCGTTTTCTTATTCCTGGACATCATGAGTTCTCGCATTTTTAAAGGGGGGAAAACTAAAAGCCATAAGACTGAATCTAAGGCTCTGCCTCCTTGTCATTGGGAACCATAATTTCTCCAAAGTCAATCGGGATTAATAAAAACCTTACCTGCTTTCTTGCACAAAGATTACCTGTAAAGTGGGACTTCCTATCTTGTCTAAAGACTCCTAGGGGAAGATAAGGAATCAACTGTATATAATCTTGATGTCTTATGAACGCACCAAGGAATTCGTATGGTACAATATGTGTGTTGTCAAAGATACTCCCCCCCCCCTCGTCCCCAGCAAAATTGGCTAGCCACATTTTAGAAAATAATCTTTTTAAAGACAACGGTGTGGCTTTTGGCAGTTATTTTCCCCATTTCAGCCATTAATGCTAGGTCCCTGAATAAGCAAATAGCGCGGGAAGCCCGCTTGAAAAATTACAGATCTGACCAAAGGGGTGGAGTTCTTTAATAGGAGTATGATTCCACTAGAGCTCAGTGGGAGAAATGGTGTAACACCGATGCTTCAAATTCTGAAGCAAACACATTGGGAAGTAGATATTTAAGACATTCACACTTTTCCTCTTCTTTTGATCTTACTGCAATATCTCTGCTGCTCGCTGCACAAAACCCCCACGTCAGTCCTAGTATCGGGACCAGTACTTTTTTCTTTACCTCTTCTGCACTGAGTTGTTGGTAATGGCTTCTCCACTGCCGCCTTGAATCTTCTCTCACATAGTACTTAGAATGCCAGGTGCAGCCTGCAACATACAGGACAAAGCATGCCAAGGCTAATGAGGATTCCTGTTTCTGCCAAATCTCAAGGATTTGAATCGTATTAGATTGGGGTTTGCAGTAGGAATTCAGGGAGCACACCTTTTGGCATGCAGGGCCTAGGGGAATATGTACATGGGTGATGACTTTTATCTCGGTCCAACCGAGAACATTAATAAGAGATTTTGAAGTTCAAATATATTCAGAAATTATTCTGTGTAGAAGAGGGAGGTAAGAATGGATTGTGTGCCTTCATCACTTTTGTGTAGCCCAAATTGCTCAGTTTTGTATCACTAGGATCTAATCAAAGAATGTTGGCACTTCTGAACCAGTATTTAAACGTGTTCACCGTGTTTGGAAAAGACGATGATCTCTCCTAAGCAGGCAGATTTCTGTTTAGAATAAAGAAGCATAGATGTATTATTTCCGTAATGCACAGGAGGATTATATGGATGTGAATAATCTATACCGCAATGTTTTGTAGAGGTTCTGGGTTTATAAGAAAACACTTGCATCCAATTTAGGCTCTTTGTTTCATCATTTACAACTGTTGGTTTGCAATATATTTTCTGCTTCTAGCAAAGTTTAGATAAAAGGGTGGGCTACACTAGTGCACTGTGAGGAAATATGGAATGCTAAACTGGAGTAAATATTTCAGAAAGGGCATAATTGTGAGCTGCTGCCCACTGCACATTTGGTGCCTTTCTTATCTCTTCCTGCTGAAAATACCCTTGATGGGTTACAAATTTCAGTGAGTGAAAACAGGCTGTCAGCTTCTTACAGTACCAAGAAACTATATAGTGAAGTTTTAAGTGATGTGTCCTTTTTATGTATGGAAAATATGATCATTGACTTTCTCAGACATAGGAAACACTTCTCTTTTTCAAGCAAAGAATAAAACTCATGGTTTTTTTTTGAATGGTCAAACTTGAAAATAGAATCTGGAAACTAAATAGTAAAATCAGTTGCTGTTTTGTTTGGGTTTTTTGTTTTTTTTTTGTATTTCACAACCATACACATGCAATAAAAAGGCAGTCGGTCAAAATAACTTGTCTCATGTCATTTACCTGAAAAATGCTTTTCTACTCATTTTCTATTTGAAATTTTTTTTACATGTTTTGAATTGCAAGGTTATTTGGGAGAGGGGGGGGGTTAGAATACAAGGACCCTTGCCTGATTAGCTTGGTTTACTGAAATGCATCTAAAAATGTGCATGCTTCCATTTAGTAGAGAGAGAGCAAGCAATGGCTTCATGCTGGGCTGTCTCAAGATGGATTGTTTAAGAAAGTTGGAAAATATGCAATCCGAGTATTAAAAAAATATAGAATATTGTCCCAAATGTGCTTTTCCAAAAGGCTTTACTGAAAAAGCTGCTTGGGTGAGAAGTGAAATGTTTTCAAACGAGAAAAAAATAAACCAAAAAAGTCCAGTTGCCTTTTGGAAAAGCACCTTTGGGACCACCATGACCTGGATGATTGAGAATCTCCATAGATATATAGAATATTGTGAATGCTCAAAATGAGTACATATAGTATTTATCCTATCTTAGTTATACTCTGAAATCAGCTACCTATTAAAAACAGACAATTTGCAGAGACTTATTTCTAGTGTGAGGGAAGATGTGAAGATCTACTACAGTATAAGGGAGACTTACTGGTCAGTTCTAATATTTCTAAGGGATGGTATGAACTCTTCAATAGGAATGAAGTCTGGTGCAAAAACAGCTAGTCCTCTGCCCTGGGAAAACTTTGCTCTAGGAGATTTGTAATTACTAACTTTCTAGATGGCTTGTGTGGGCGAGTAATAAACAAAATTCTTTATTGCTGTGTAGTAGGACTAGCCTGGTAGCATTCTTCTGGAGAGGTGGTCTAATTGTCCATTTCTAATCTGGAATGATCTTTAAGTACTTGAGGAGCAATTGAGGTGATATAACTCACCTATATGGGGCAAGACTTTTTTTTGGGAAAAATAAGACCTGGGGTCCTTCCACATGAGGATTTTATTTTGTGTATGTGCTTGTATGCAATCTTCCCACCTCAATTACTGAACTTTTCTGTAGTTATTTCAAAAGTTATGAAATAACTACAGGCTATTCCAGATGTTTTACTATGCCTTTTCATGGTGATTTCATAACATTTTTTCCTTCAATTCTTATCCAACTTTCATTCACTCACTCATTCAGACCCATAGAGGGGCTATGCACATGGATAGTGATTGGATAGGATTTCTGTGTGCAACAAAGATAGATGTTAAGAGTAGCTTTTCTAAAGTTGAAATTTTCTGTTTTGTTTGCTTATACACAGAATTTAGCTTTCCATCTTGTAGTGACTTTGTGAAGCCTATTGCCAAAGATTGCTAAAAGTCTGCCCCTGCCCCAGTCATTGCTCTAAGACAAGGAGCAAAATGGCTATATTTGGGTGGTCAACCTACCATATCAGAGGTTATGACTTCAAAGAACATTACGTTCAGGAGAAAGCTGGCTTGATTACTGGCATTAACATTTGATAGCATTTGCCTTTATGTTAGTCCTCCCCTTGCTCTGCTACTGTGATATTTTTATTTATTTATTTTTGTGCTCATAGCCAGCTGTCACAATTCATAGTAAAATGTACACAGATAAAGCCAATAATTGGGGACATAAGATTTAGTTACTCCGAAGTTGCAAAATCCATCTATTCTTTTTATTATATCTTCACACTCATCTTATTGGTTTAATAAGTTTCACGATTTAAGGAGCAGTTGTGGTTTTTTCCCATGTAAGCATTAGTCTGGCGCATGTTAACTGCAGCTGTGAAAACAAGAGTAGGGGAAAACTGTGCCAAGCTACAGTGTTGAACTTCATCAACTTAAGAAGTAGTTTTCTGAATTAGTATTTTTTTTTTCATTCTTTTACACTTATACACACCTTTGCTGTCATGGTCTGTTTGCTATAGCAACCATTCCCAGCCAAAGGCTAAAACTTGCTAATGTGTAAATATCTGAGATGTTTACTGATTTCCAGAATGGAAATAGGAATGCCCTCCAGTTGTTTTGGACACCACTTCTTATCAGATCTGTGCAAGTCATAGTCCAAAACATTTGGACATCATAATACCTGAGTTTGGCATTTTTTTCTTTAACATTTCTTAATGATGAATTATGCTGTAAAACTGGGTTTACAGAATAAATCTAGAGAAATGCTGGACAGGACTATTTTGAGAACAAAAGTATGTTCACCTACTGTGTCTATTATTCTCATGTGGAGAGAGCCAGGAAGCTAAACATTAACACATAGCTTGTTCCTCACCTGATATGGTAATATTTTTTTTTCAGATGTGCCTAACCACATGAAACAGAATAGCGACAATAAGTGTGTGTATTTGCCCTAGCAAATGGCTCCTTGGGATCCCTGCAGTTGACATGTCAAAAAAAGAAAAATACCAAACCATCCGAGAAGAAAGGATGCCTTATTTCTAGTTCCTGGGTATGCATCTACAAAACAATAACAATATTAGAGTTGGAAGGGACCTTTGAGGTCTTCTAGTCCAACCCCTTGCTCAGGCAGGAAACCCTATACCATTTCAGACAAATGGCTGTCCAGTCTCTTCTTAAAAACTTCCAGTGTTAGAGCATTCACAACTTCTAGAGGCAGGTTGTTCCACTGATTAATTGTTCTAACTCTCAGGAAATTTCTCCTTTCTTCTAGGTTGCTTCTCTCTTTGATTAGTTTCCATCCGTTGCTTCTTGTCCTGCCTTTGGGTGCTTTGGAGAATAGCTTGATTCCCTCTTTTTTGTGGCAACCCCTGAGATATTGAAACACTGCTACCATGTCACCCCAAGTCCTTCTTTTCATTAAACTAGACATACGCAATTCCAGCAACCGTTCCTTATATGTCTTAGCCTCCAGTCCCCTAATCATCTTTGTTGCTCTTCTCTGTACTCTTTCTAGAGCATGGGTGTCAAACTCGTCATGTCACGTGACATGTCGCGACGTATCACAACTTTTTTTGCATTGCCGGCAATGGGGTGAACGCAGTTTCAGTATGATGAGACCAGGCAGTTTGACACCCCTGTTCTAGAGTCTCAAGGGGCAGCTAATGACAAATGATAGTTGTCATGTGTTGACTTCATTGCAACCACAGATCATAGCAACAGCAGCACTGTATTGCAACCATATTGTAAAAATAATATCTTTATTTGACACTATATAATGTGTCCTATTCACAAGCAGCTGGCCCAAGTTCTGCATGGATTGCCACTGTTCTCATCCTTGCATTGCTGATGAGTTTTGCCTTGGATTCTCCTAGAAAAGACAATTTGTTTCTACATGTATAGTAACCAAGGTTGGAACTTTTGTAGCTTCCATCACAAAGCTTTAATTATGGTATTTGCAGGCTCCTAAACCAAGAAAATGTGACAAGGTCCACAAGGTAAAGCTCATGCATATATTTATCGTTCCTCTTTGCTAAATATTGAAAGCATGTGTGTACAGTGGGCAAGCACACATGTATACACTGTACCAGTGCTGGATAGTAAATCGGGGGGGGGGAGGGTTTAAGAACAACAACATATCTGATGTTAAATGTTAAATTAGATTTTGTTTACCATCAGCTTTCTGAGCAAGATTGGGCTATTGGAAATTATTTTGTTTATTTGTTTGTTGAGAAAGATAGTATGTGAGAAGTATGCCCGTGAAAGGAAAGCTACTTACCTTTTTTTTCATGCTCTGCAAGAAATTAAAGATGAGGGAGAGATTATGTTTGTCCTCTCTGCTTTCCTCCTCACCACAGCCTGATTGATTGGTTGAGGTAAGAAAGTGTGGATAGTCCAGTGACTCAGTGAATTAGGTAGCTACACTGAGATCTGAACTTTAATCTCCTTAATCTGTCTGGTCCTTGTCTTTGCACTATAATCATGGCATAATGTAATTTTCCCCCTCTTCTAACCAAGTAAAACAAGAGATAATAAGCATGTCACAGGCTGCCTTGAGCCAAAGAGATAAACGGCTTGAAAAAAAAAAGTTCTTTATAAAGTTACCTACTTTGTATATTTGTGGAAAGGACAGATGATAAATCTCTACATAGCAACAGATTCTTTTATAAAACATTGATTTTGGATTAAAAAAAAACAAGGAGTGGATTTGATAAAATTCTATTTGGCATTGGGATGGGATTTCAGTAACTGGAGAAAGGTGTACAATCTCACAAACAAGGCACAGGGGAAGACAAACAGGAAATATGAACTAAAATGAAAGCAATCTGGAATTTTTATTGAAAGGAATTGGGTCCAGAATAACTTGTATTTTTTTTTTTTTAGAAAATGTATATAACCACCCAATTTATATACCGGTAATCACAACTCTGGTGATGTCCATCAAATAACAACCAAAGGGGATAAAAATATGATTATGGCTAAAAAAAAATTCTAAAGACACCTAATCCATTGTCAGATTATCAAAGAACATACAGTGCAGTAGGAGTCAATCAGATGTGCCACTCTTATCTCTCAAAAATTGGTTCATTTATGGTGCATAGAATTGAGCAGTGCAAAGATCCTCCTGGTTATGGCTGCTATCTAATCCTTGAGTAATCCCAGGAGGACATCCAAGTTGAAAACAAATCCCCTCCAGAACAATCCCCTCCAGAACCAATTGTGGAGAATCCTGGATACAAGATTCAGAGAGATACATATTCCACAGCCACTTGGTCTTCTAGGGTTAAGCTGATGATTGTTCTTCCCCATCCAGTCCCCTATAGTCTCCAGACATTGGCAAATGACCTTGACAGCATCACTCAGCTGGACAAGAACAGAGATGTACAATTGGGTATCATCACATATGGCTGATCCTTCACCGTGTGCTGATGAATGTCTGAATGAATATCCAGAATCTTTATGTAGATGTTAAGTGAGGGAAGGAGTTGAATTCTGGGGCATCTTGCAAAGAAGGCATTTAGAGCTAAATCTTTCTCCCACCATCAATACTGACTAAAACTAACCAGAAGGAAGGAGGAAAGCAATTGCAACACCATTCTCAAATCTTGGCTGGTCCAGAGGGATCCCAAAGTCAAT